CAGTAACATTTGGACAATTTATTTCTATATTTGCATGCCTTCTGTAATGGAGCTGGCACTGCTGTTTTTAACTGCGACTTTTATTAACCCAAATCAGAATTAACTCTGAAACAGCTGTGAAACAATTTGCAAGCACTGTTACTATAACAATATTGGATTTTTTTTTTAAAATCTAAACGATAAAACACCATTATTTTCACTTACTTGGAAGCAAACATATTCCAAGCCTTCCCAACAATATCGTCTAGAGGCTTCAGCAGAAACTGGCTATTGCTGACCAAAGCAGCAGATTTTTCATACTTGTTAAAACCTCTTGGTGTTTTCCATACATTAAACGCATCCTGAGGGTTTAGCCACGAGGTATATAATGCGGCATCTCTGAAACCTCCTGTAGTGGAAATAAGACAACCTTTTCTGACTGATGCTGATAAAAGCAGGGTTTTCTTTAATAAGCTCAGCTACAATATTCCCATCAAAATATTTCACATAGTAATGGACGTGAAAATTGATGCTCCTTCTTTAAATCTACTAAATTAATCTAAATGAAAAGTAACCTGCAAAAGGAATGTTTAAAACTGGTGCTGTGCCTGGAAGGCCAGCAAGTTGTTTGTCTAACCTCAAACAACTGCACGTAAGGGGGAAGCTGCAACTTTATCTCGAGCCCTCTGTCTTGGCTGATGCTTAGAAGCACAGTCTTGCTGGTGTAGCACGGGTAGATGAGCTTGGAAGACCCCAGTTTGGGAGAAAGCAGAATTGTGGTAGGTTACACACCTATAGATTTCCATTCCACCAGTCCTCTGAAAGCCTCGATTTTGGCTTGGAAGATTCGATAGGCTTCTAAAGTGGCTTCCACATGATGATGGGTCAGTGAAACTGCAGCTATTTCCACAGATTTTCCCAGAGTTTCGTGCAGCTTGGATACGAAAGTTACTCTTGTACCATATGGTAATAAGTAAGATGTGATATTCCCCCATTCCTACAGCAGCTCTGCTTCCTTTCAAGTAGAATACTGACCAAGAATCTTGTCACAGAAACAGTATTTGGTGTTCTAAGAAGCACTGGTAGGTGCTGGCATAGCAGTATCTTGATATGCAAACACAGCAGTCCCTAGCGACCGATTACACGACCCCGGCCTTGGACATTAGAATGCGTTTGCCGAAGGAACGCTAACCTTAATGCTCTAAAATCTGTAGCCTTCATTTTTTTACTTTCTCCAGAGGCTGTCACACGTAAGCAGTAGGAGAGCGATAAATAATACACTGTATTTTGTTTTTCTCACCTACATCCACACTTTGCACATCTTTTCCTCTCAGGATAACCAGGTTGGCAACAGAAGTGTTAAAATGTGGTGCTCTACTCGGAGAGCATTTCTGGGAGACAGGCAGTCCAGGCAATGGTGGTCGCACCTGCCAATTGATACCTGGAAAGAGATTTTTCCAACAGAGTAAAAATTAAAGAAAATGAATGATTTGATCGTGTGATGCACTCTTTTGTTTGTTGGTTCCTGTTGTCCTGATGCAAAACATGGCTGCACTGAGTAAGAGGTACAATAGGCTAGCTGGAGACAGCTAGTGAAATAGCTAGCATAGGGCACCTGGCTGAGGATGTTCTATAGGAGTGAGCAGCCACCGTGTTGGGCTGCAGGCTGAAGTTACCAGAAATTTAGATCAGCAGCAGGTGGGGGCTAGGACTCAGGCACCACCACCACTTTTCCCTGTGGCAGCATGGAGTAAGTGCTTACAGCCACCATTTCTTCCTGTGGCACCAAATGCCGCCAAAGCCACGTGTCCGTGGGCCAAATCCAGCCTGTAGGTTGCTGACCTTTGTGCTAACGCATGTAATCTCTATTCACTAATTGAGCTGCAATTACTCAGCTCTAGGAGAAAATAGGGCCAAGCCTGCAGTTCTAATATAGGAAGTCTCCTGCTGCAGTTGCTAATCCTGACAGACTGTATGCTTGTGTCTGTAGTAAACCATTCACCCTTGTACCCTGATGGTGCCTACTGCCTAGACAATGTAACTAGAAACCATGTTTCAGTTTTCCATGCGTCTATGTAGCTGATATGGGGAGGCTTAAGTGTGCAATTTTTAGAAGTCGAAGGAGTATGAAGGATAAATGTAGCAGAACTTGGAATCCAAGGGCTGTTCCAAGTGGATCATGTAAATAAAATACATAGCTCCCTATGGTTTTAATTTGTTGTACATATTTTTAATATTTGAGGTGCCTGGGAACAAAACCAGGATATAGCAGAAATGAGCTGGAAGGTGTCTTGGCAGCTGAATTATTCAATGGAGGAGGCAGCTGGGTATGTACAGAAAAATTCCTGCTGTCTAGAAAAAGGGGTTCCTCCTCCCGAACTGCAAGTAAACTCCCAAAGGCAGTACACCGAATTGCAACAGTTTGCTGAAGGCGTGACAGGTTTCTGAGTGTGCCTGCAAACCTCTTACCTTCCTCCATTTTAGCGTGAGCAATAAGCATCTGCCTCAGGTGTTTGATGAGTCCAGGCCAAGTGAACGTGCTATATGCCAGGGAGTTCTCAGACATCTGAGGAATATTACGAAGACCCAACATCTTGAATTCAGGATGGGGAACTAAAGATTCCATTAAATCTCCTGAGAAGAGAGAAGAAAAATAGGTACTTTCTGACTACTCAAATAAATGATACTGAGATGGTAAGGAGTTTCACAGGGTCTGACAAAAGGTGTAAAGTGGTACAAGATAAAACTCAGGCTTTACATGCAAATCTATATACATCAGAAGGAATATTATGTTGCTGGGTTCTATATTAACAGGTTGGCACTCGGCATTCCCATACACAGCTCACTAAAACTTTCTGCTCACTGTTAAATGGTAATTTAAACCCCCTCACTCCTCAAATATTTGGGGGTATATGCAAGGACTGGGATGGAAAATAATACTGAAGGTACTGATAATGCTATTATATTAGCCAGTAGAATGTTGGGTTCTGTTCTGGTTACTCTGTTGCAAAGATGCAGCTAAAAAGAAAGAGTTAAAAAAATTAAAATAAGAAGCACAAAGGAGAATTATATATGACAGATGCAGACTACTTAGAAAGGAGATGTGGTTAAGGGTACACAAAATTACAAACAGCTTAGAAAAACTGGGCAATTATATGGATAGTGAGAATAACTTGGTGACATCCAGTGCAATTATGTGTAGGGAATATAAACCCTCATTGTTAAAGACAAAAGTTGGCTACAACCTGATGTGGGCAGGGAAGGAATTTTCCCCTATGGCCAAATTATTTCATAATTGTCCCCTAAGTATATCTTAAACCTTCTGCAAAGCATCTGGTAACAACAACTTGTTGGAGAGTGGGTACTAGACAGACTGCCACTTTGACCCAATAAGGCAATTTCAGTGTTTTGAGTCATTTATTCTACAACAACTTCAAATGTGTTTTGTTGTATCATTTTCCTTTTAAAACTACAAGTCTTTTTCTCTTGCCCGTTTACTTTGCAATTTTCCCATGAAGGAGAACTGCTCCATAAATACACGAACAAAAAATAAAAAAAAGAGGGAGCAAATCTGAGTTCCTGAAGCAAGGACACATGAGACAAGGATGTGGAAATTAATGGCCCGTGCGTTTATGTCTGGTCTGAAATGTCGTAGGTACATTGTCTGGCCTGGAAGATATAGATGCTGTCCTTTTGTTACAGGGACACAAGGGTAAGATGACATAAATCACGCACTACAAGGGCCACATACCACTTTGATTCAGTTTTCATAGGGATTTATATAAACTTTTATCTGGTTTCACTTTGCATAAAGTTTTCAATCTTAAAACTTGAAGCAAAATCACAGACCTGCACTTGTTTTTTTTTTCTGAAATGTAAATCAGTCCCAGGTGATGCCAACAATTTTGGACCGAAAAACAAAACATTTTTTGGCAAAGGATGAGACCAACACTCAAATGATCTATCCTCGCCTTTGCTCCAAAACTGACATAACCTGTCAAGTCACTTAGTCTCAGTTTCCCCATCTTAAAAACATGGGATAACAGTGACTCATGAGGGGGCTGGGAAGTTTTAAATTACTGACTAAAGATCCTTGGAAGGAAAGCATTGCATGGCACAAGACACTATTAAAATAAGATACCTAGTGGATTTCTGCTGTACTGAACAGCACCTTGTGAAGTGTGAGTAGGCTGAAAGACACTTCCCAGCTGGTGTGCAATGACTCTATTTACATCCCTGAATGAGATCTGCTTGATATTCATTAGCTGAGCACAGATCTTGTGGATGGCATCATTTTCGTGAACAAGGAGAGCATCTGAAGACTGGTACAGGTGAGAAAGCGTCAGAACTGAGTTGTAGTTTTGGACAATAACCTGAAAGCAGAGAAGCACACACACAAATGTTGGCCAATACAGAAAGAATCCATCTTAAACTTTTCCTCCACACCTTCTCCTTTAGGACATTTGTTATGGAGTGAATGCTTTGCCATCCCTTAGCTTCTGCAATGGAATCAGATTCTCTTGGACAGAGGACAAGACCCGCCTGGGTCATGTGATCCACAGCTACGTTTATGCCGCGAAGGTTAGAAAGAAGCTGCATGAGCACCCTGTGTAGTAACCTGGACAAAAGGGCTTGAGACCAAGGTTCAACTTCCTGCTGTGTATTCCTGGGCAAGGCATTCTGTTTTTCTGTGCCTCAGTTTCCAATCTGTTAAACTGGGATAAATGGTACTTCACTGTGTCACAGAGATGCTATGAGGATAAATTAAGCCTATCTGCTTGAGAGATGTTTAGACACTCTGATAGAAAGGTCTTTTAATAACTTCAGACAGCCTCTGAAGCAACAGAATTAAGTCCTGCAGTTGGGATTACAGTACCACAGATATAACCATCTTTTACCAGCCTGTTGATTTTTGTGGTTTTACAATCCTGTTCTTTAAATAGTCTTTTTTGTTTCTATGCGAGAGGCTCAAAGCAACTCTCAGTAAATGATGAGACTGATTACACAAAGTTACTGTCACAAATGCAATAAATTGTAAAAACTGTTTTTAGTTCTAGGCATTTTAAGTGTTACTTGTGACAACAGCAGGCAAACCAATGGCAGTTTACTCTTTTTAACGTTGGCTGTTTCCCATTAACTATAATTAAGTTTTGCAGAACTCAAGAGCCCTTGAGGAGCTTTAACATTCACCTCGCCAGTTCCATATGGCCAGACAACCTGGTTTAGTATAAATGAGGCTGGAAAAGCATCCCGTAAGCACTGGGTCACAAACGCTCCCATGCCTGACCCTGTACCACCAGCCATGCTCATTACTGTGAAAAATCCGCTGAGTCTATCACATTTCTCTGCTTCCTTCTGGACCAGATTCATGATCGCATCTTTGTGTCTGGGCCCATGAACAGAGTAACTGCAGTACAGAAGAAAAAGCAAAAAAACTTTCACATCGCATCAGAACAAAACCAGTAAGAAGATATATAAAGCAGGTTTTTCTTAAAAAAAAAAAAAAAAAGTTATATGGCTTTGTCACTAATTCTGCTTATAGAGAATAATCTTCAATTCTTCTGTTGTGCTACTGATCTGGCATTTACAGGTTTTTTAAAATCAGATTCCTTCAAACCTTTACATCACATAGCTTGATGTCTAGATGATGTCCTGATTACTTGTCACCATTTATACCAGTAGTATATCTTTGATAAATGTCACTTTTTGCTTGCAAAAATACCGTCATCTGTCTACAACAGCAATAACTCCAGCTCCTGTTAGATATACAGTGTATTATTTCATAGTTGCAATCATACTGTCTCTACAAGAGAATGGCTGTGAACTCAGTTACTTTATCATTCATATACTGTATTATTAACAGAGCTTCAGATCATTCATACCCATTTGCCCAGTTGTTTCCAGACCCTTGATTCTGA